GGCAGTTGACTTCTGACTTCAAACTACAATGGTCCCACTGTATTGCATATTCTATCCCTTCCATGGTACTCATCTTACCTTTTCTCTGCCTTTTGTCTGTCTGTCTCTGTTACATTTGTGAATCATTATTCTGTCCCCCCCCCCTCTCGACTTTTTGTCACTTTGATGTTCCTCCTCCTCCTCTCTGTGAAGCCCAAAGTCAGCTAAATGGCTAATGATAACCATCAAAACGCCTGCCATTTGAAATAAATATTAGAAACTTTTAAAATGTTAAAGGGTCATGAGGATAATATTCCTACCGAATTGAGAGGGCATATTCACCTTTCCAAGAACCAACTACACATCTATGACTCGTCTTAAGTTAATCCACGAAGTATTTATTGAATTTAAAGGTTTAACATTTGTAAGGAAATACCTGGCTAAACGATACCCCCCATTTACATCAGGACGCTTTGACGACCTCAAGCATTAATTTGACCTCTAACATCTTAAGAAAGAGGGGAGATCAAAGTGAGGATCTTAAGGTGAAGCCATGTTCAAGTTTCCTCAGATCGAAGTCTAATAATTCCACTCGCAGTAAATGGTAATCAAGATAATCATGAAAGTCCGCAAATGACAAATCCTGACACTCAAAAATGTGTCACGCACTTTCAATAAATCGAATTTCCATTTTCATCGCTCCCTTATTGTTGTTTTTCTTGACTCGATGGTTATCCTGTCTTTTTTTACAATTATCCAGCAACAACAACAATAATAGTGTTCCACAAGCATGACAATCAGATACGATTTTGAAAGCCGAAAACTCGGTTACTCCAAGTTATACAAAATTAGATGGTGGATATAAATTGCAGTATATCTGAACTTCATTTCATTGTAGAGAACAAGTACACTATGGACATTTGAGATAGCGTAGTATTGGGCATGAAGGTAAATAACCTACGGGAAGCACAGGGAACAAGCACATATTCCACAAGTCAGGTGGGTACTCGATCGTCCGGAAAGTGCAAACATACTTGATTTTTACGATGTTAACACAATTGGAGTTGGCAGAAAAGAAGTGAAGATCCTATATAAAGAACATGCACTGTCCCCCCCCCCCGCCCCCCAAACTACAGTTTATATTAACGGGGCCCACACTCCCTACCAAGCGCACAGAACCGTGAACTCACACCTCACTAAGCATGCTTTGTATAAACAAAGCAAAACAGGGACGATTTCTGTGGGTGCGCGCACTTAATACTGCTGCGACCTCGCTCTCTGGCGTATAAACAAAACGGAATTTAAGTGACTATGTGCACTGCAAAGTTGCTGTTCTCTCTCTCCCTCCCACTCGCTCTTCTTCGTGCTACAACAGAGCCCCGATCGATTCTGACCCCCGGATATATTACTTAATTCCTCTTAAGTATAGATAAGCAATTCGGCTATTAGTCTTCAACTAAAGTTACTATGGGGGAATACATACAATTCAAATAGACAGATTATAATGATCTTCTAACTAAGGTTACAAAAATTAAAATTCAAAATTTAGCGTGCATATATAATCGATGTGGCAATTTTCAAATCAAGTAATAACCATAAAATACACACACGTGTATTTTACATTAAGTCGAGTTAATATTCCATTTTTTAATTTGATCATGATGGCATAGTGACGGGTGATTTAAAGGATAGGAAAAAAAAATAGGAAGCCACTTACCTGCCCCGGAATACAAAGCGTCAAAGTAGCCTGCTTCCACCCAAAAAACACGCAACTCGTGATTTCCTCTTATTCACAGAACCAGTAAACAAAACGCACTCTTTGTAGTCTCCATCTTATTACGGTCGAAAAATAAGCTAGCCAACATAACTATCTTATCTATCTCTACCTACCCACCCCACCCCCACCCACTTGGTGTTTTTGAAAGCTGATTTTAAATCAATCAAAAACAAATACAAATTCATTCATTTCAAAGGGAGGAGGAACTTGAATTGCTTAACGCAAATAGAGTATGTACACAGCACAGATAGAGATTAGGTGGGGATGGGGGGGGTTGTTATTTGCGCTTCTATCCACACACTGCAAAATGTTCTTTATGACAGTCGTAAATTTTTCTTGTCGATTTTTCGCTAAATTCGTTACCTCACTTGCAGTGGAGTGGGATTCAAATTTAGAGAAGAAATCAGCAACTGACAAATATGATTGGCTAAAAGTAGAGCTCATAATAATAAATAGAAAAAAGAAACAAATTGACGATCAGGAGGGAGCAGTAAAATAACCCCTTAAGGGGGAATGGAGAGGGATTCGACAGGAAGAGACTGACTTCATGTCATCTTCCAATGAGTCTACGTAAGTCGACGGCAAGAAGGAATCTGGCAAGAAATACTCAACTTGGCAGAACCCAGTCATTGCATTCTGATCATTATTACTCTATATTTAAGTACAAATCAAAATTAAGACGCATTTTGAAGTGACAAACCAATTGGGTGGATCCATAATGTCAGCAGTTCCGCACAAATTAATTTAGAGCGAAGAAAAAATCTTAAGCAATAATAAACACCCATATAATCGACTTTACAATAGCTAACTGTTTTGGCAAGATAGATGTCTATATCAGAAATACCTTTCCTATTGATCCTGACTGGACGAATTATTTCCAACCAGGTCAAGGTTAACACTGTACTTACTGGAATTGATACTCCAAGGGGTTCAATTGGGGGTAAACCACCAGGAAATTGCAGTGACAAGGAGTTTCGCCAATTAGTCATTATGTTGAGAAATGGAGAAAATAGGTCAGCCTTAAGTGGACTGGATGGTTTAGATGGTTCCGAAGGCATTATTGGACTTGAAAATGAGAGGGTAGGACTATGAAAAGTAGCATTGGAGGTTGATGGTGTGGGGAGAGTGAGCAGAGCTGAAACATCGGATATTTGAGGGAGTGAAAATGGTATAGAACATCCTGTTTCCTGATTTGGGACTGCTGGACTATTAATAGATGATGCATTATATGAATACTCGTTGAATGAGGTGTGCGGAATGGTTAGATTCGTAAATGAAGTTGACGGTAATGGAGGGCTTGGCTGAGACATTGAAACATCCCCAGAAAGTGATCCGATAGAAGAAGCCTGAAAGTCAAATCCACTGTCAAATAACCACAATCAGCGATTGAAAGAAACGCCCAGGAATGGCACCTTACCCTGCAAAATTCCCGCTTAATTTTCAGAGTGCTTTCAATGGGAATCGTTCCGGCATTATTCTTGAATTTAGACATGATTCGAGCTAACTCCTCACTTGTTTTGAACTTGTCCTTGTGATGAGCTTCAATGTGCCGTTTGAGATCACCCTTCCAGGAAGATTTGTATTCACAGAAGTCACATTTGAAAGGTTTCGCTTTCATATGGAGTCTCATGTGCCGTTTGAGTTCACTTTCATACTTGGCCTCGTACTTACAGTAGAGGCAACCGAATGGCTCTCCAGTCGATTTTCCACTAGATCTCCTGGGAATTGTCGATTCTAGAGAAGTACGCCCATTTCTGCTTGTACGACTAGAATTCCTGGCCTGCCGGATGATGTTATGGGCTTCACGCAAATGTTCAGCTAGGTCACCATGCCAATGGAATATTTGAGTGCACTCACTGCATCTGAAATGATGAAAACTTTAAGTGAGGCAGATTTGAAGCGCGAAATCATCAGTGGCTAAATTAGCTATCAATGAATGCCATTTTCTACATAAACTGAGCACTTTTCAGAGTAACTTTCACTCCATGGATATGAGTGAGGCAAATTTAAGACTTTTTGACAATAATTCAACTGATGGTAACTATTTGTAATGTAATAGTTACACGTCTGTCGAGATATGGACGCCCAGCCACACTGCCAACAAATTGGGGAGGGGGCGATAAATATGACCCGAGTACTAAATTCTATATCTCCGCCTTGACAATTATCATGTAGCAAGTGTTGCCATATTAAATATATGCCATATTCAACGCTAAACGGACTCTACCAAACGTACGAATAACTAAAACACAGTGCTGTTGAAGTCAAAAAAAGGTAAATTTGTGATGTCCAACTCTTTTTATCACCACTCTTACCATCGCCATATTTTGTCGAATTCGACAGGACAGTTTTCTGTCCCATTAGTAACAACAATACCCTAATTAACTGCCAAAATATTTCACTCCAACTTGACATTCCATTTGGAGCAAAGTGATTTTTTGACGGCTATCGATTTTATGCGGTCTTTTAATCTTGCAGTCGAAATGTTGATTAAAACGATAGACTGTCAAATCAAAATAGCAAAAAAACAAATTCTTGAAATGTATTTCATAGACTTAACTCCAAAGCACATTCATTCGGAAGAAATTTAAGCTACCACAAGATGTGATATATTGTTACTTTCAGTTAACACCACCACCACCACAGAAGTACACACAAGCATAAATCCAAACAACACAAATTCCGCGGCGCGCACAACTTATTGTAACAAAAGAGAAGAGAGAGAGAGAGAATGAGGGTAGCCAAAACCACTTTGCTAGCAATCCAACTAACCTATAACGACGTGTGGAATTTGAATCGACAAGGATGGAGGAAGAAATTGAGAGTAAATCATCTGGGTTTGATTCTGGATTATGAAGTGGCGGAGGTGGAGTGGTAGAGATTGATATGTCTGTAAAATTTCCATTAAGCTGGTGTTCCGGATCGCTTTGTATGGAAAGAAAGCTTCGTTCCCTCTCCAGAGATGCGTTGAGATCAACATTTTCTGCTCGAAGAGAGGAGATAGGATCTTGGTGATCGTAGTTCTTTTGATGAAGATGTTCCTTCTCCATGTGTTCTTGCAGGCTAGATTCAGAGTCACAATAAAAATTGCAACAACTGCATACGTAGCAAGATCTGTCTTCTATAAATAAGCAAAAAAACAAGTTACTTGCAGGTAATTAATCAGGAGATCACGGCGACAGTGGAAATGAGCCGATCGAGAAAGGCAGAAAGATGAATTAGTGGTACGAACAAACATGAAAAGAATAATGCACGCTGTTAGCGCTAACAAACCGAGAGACTTCGGTGAGAATTTTCTTGTGCGTTGTCGCCCTCCACTGTTTTCACCTCGGTACGTCCTTCTGCAGAGTGCACTAATTTCCCAATGAATCAACGTCAGGGGAGGAGGCAGTAAAATATGCCCCTCCTCCTCATCCTATTGGCGGGATGAGAGATGTCCTGCTTCCTCGTTTCCTTCCCAAACCATTTCCCCGAACATACAGAGTTCCCCCTCCC